GCCGAGCTCGGGAATGCTGAGAGGAAATGACACGGGTCAAAACACCCCAAGCTAAACAGTTAATAAATGGTGTACCTCAGGGATCTGTGCTTGGTCCTCCTCTTGTTGGGGCATCATCCATTCTCACAGCTGATAATCCTCACCTACACCTGACCAGAGAGTACCTCAGTCTTCCAGCTCCATGTATTAAAGACAAAGCTTTATCTCTAATCCAAATCTAATATACCTTCAACACTGAGCTCAACTTGTCATTGCTACCGTCAACAACCAGCAGGAACTTGGTGATTGGTGATTTTTCAGTCTTGTGCATTTTCTGTATAACATCAAGAAGATAAAACTGCATCTGTACAAATATGCAGTACAAATCCTCACATAGCATGGCACCTAATCTAGAATGTTCTCATTGGTGCTGATGTTGAAACAATGAATGCCATACTGAATGTTGTGTAAAGCCCATGGTCTATGAGACACTGCCAAGTCCTCAGTCTCCATACTGCTGAGTAAACGTGCAGCTTTAACACACTGATGATTGGCCACATAACTCCATTATTGTCATTTGGGTGTTCTAAAGGTATTAATGTCATCAGTGTGTGTTCTAAAGGTATTACTGTCATTTATGTGTTAAGGTATGTTTTTTGTGCAGCAGCTCTCTCATTGGCCTCAGATCAGCTGATCATGTGATCAGAGTGTACACACTTTATCACCTGTAAATCACTTCAGGTCAAACTGACAGATAATGAAGAAATGTTAATAAATGAGTGTTATGTTGTGTGCAGAAGGTGATGATGGAACAGATGGGTGTGACAGCTCTGCTAAAATGAAAAGAAAAGTAAAAAGTGAGGAACGTAAAACAGGCTGTACCGGGTCATGTTTGCACAAACACATCTTACATTAAACTGCTCATACACTTCCCACACACTTCTGAAGTTCATGGTGACATCAACTGTACAGGGTTGACTACTGGTGGACTAAGTTTTTTAGGTGATGGAGTTCATCAGACCAGGGACTCACTACAGGACAAGAGACATTCTCTCAGAAAAGAGAAAGTTCTCTCAGACCTTCATAGACTTTTATTTTATTAATTAGTGAACTGATAGTGTCAGGAAATACACACACTGAGCAGAGGGGTTAGGATCCGAAACAGGCTTTATTGAAAGCAAAGTGCAATAAAGGGGATGTGCAGGTGTAAAACGGGAGAGGAGTGAGATGATCTGAGGGAGCTGAAGGATGATCCGTCGACGGAGCAAGGAGAGAAGCACACACCTCGGGAGTAGGGAGAAGACGGAGAGTCTCAATGGTGCAGGAATGCTGGAGTGTAGCTAGTGGGAGAATAGCAACAGGAGTCGCAATGCTTCAAGTTCAAGTTCATGTTCATAAGTGTAAACATAAGAGTAGCAGCCTATGTACAGTATAATATAATGAGTATTGTAGCAGCATAAACATGTGCAAAACTTGCAAAAAAATTGCAGAGAGGATGGAGGATGCTCAATTGTGTGTGTATATATGTATGTGTGTGTGTGTTCCTTCAGTCCAGTTTCTGAGTATTGAGGAGATGAAGATGTATAGATGGATCTAGCCCTTGGCGTTAGGTGGTCAGGAGTGTCCATTCGTTCCGTCCACTCGCCGCCGCAAGGGTCCGGAATCTCAGGGCATAATCTTGGCTGGAGGAATTACCCTGGAGGAGATTATACAATTGTTCACCCACAGAAGAATCGCACTCGGATCGGCCAAAAACCTCCTGGAAATGTGTGATGAAATCAGGACAGGATTGAGTGATACGGCCGCCTTGTTGCCAGATTGTCTCGGCCCACTGTAGTGCATGTCCCATGAGGAGTGAAATGATGAAGGCGCTCTTTGCCCTTTCTGTGGGAAAACGTCATGGCTGCATCTCCATAGCAAGGGACCGCTGTAACAGGAAACCATTGCAGTCCTCCGCCAAACCAGAGAAGGGTGCTGGTGAGACCATGGGACTATCAACCCAGACAGCGGAAGAAGTGAAAGATGCAGAAGTGCCGGTGTTGTGGTCGGGGCCCGTCGGATCCATGCTGTTACGGTCTGACCTTCTGTCAGGAAATACACACGCTGAGCAGAGGGGTTAGGATCTGAAACAGGCTTTATTGAAAACAAAGTGCAATAAAGGGATGTGCAGGTATAAAATGGGAGAGGAGTGAGATGACCTGAGGGAGCTGAAGGATGATCTGTCGACGGAGCAGGGAGAGAAGCAAAAAACCTAGGGAGTATGGAGAAGACAGAGAGTCTCAATGGTGCAGGAACGCTGGAGTGGAACTAGCACGAGAAGAGCAATGGGAGTCGCAATGCTTGGAAGGAGCACCGGTAGGAGTCTGTATGCTTAGTGCTAGGTGAGACAAAGAGTGGGACCGAGGTGTGTGCTTATATGAGCTGGTGATGAGGAGTGGAAATTAGGGGCAGGTGGGAGTGATTAGTATTCAGGGGAGTGTGGGCATTGACTGGAAGTGAGAGAGCCTGGTGACTCCATGACAGATAGCATGGCTTTAAAAAAGACTTCAGGATGAAAAGAGAATGTTTAAAGATAAATGGACAGAGGAGTGTGTGTGTGTGTTTAATTTCCACTTCGAATTCAAAACAGATAAAAGTTGTTGTAAAGTTTCATATTTGACATTTGGGTGATATTCGGCCTTTTGTTCTTTCCCACAAGTAGTCAAAATGTATCATAGTCACAACAATCACAGTTTCAGATACAGTTCACTACAATCACATGTTTTTACTGAACTCCAACATTGTATTCCTTTATTTATCTCAGATTACATTTATATTTATTCATTTATTTACATTTATTCAAAAACAAGCAACGTGATATATCAAGCAGAGAACAATACAAGTAGTGCTACCATACAAGATTTTTAATTGAGTGCTAGAGTTTTTTTTTTTTTGAGTTGAGACAAGTTAGGGGTTAGTTAAGTGTTCACAGAAGAGGTGGGTCTTTAGCTGTTTTTTGAAGATAGTGACAGATTCTGCTGTTCGGATTGAGGTTGGAAGTTAATTCCACCACTGAGGAACAGTCAGTTTGAAGAAGTAGGCACTACCAGGAGTTGGTCGTTGACTGATCGCAGGTTGCGGGAGGGAACATAAACCTCAAGGATAGTGTTGAGGTGAGGGGGAGGGGTGCTGTTTCAGACAAGGTCTTGTACGTGAGCATCAAGGCCTTGAATTTGATGCAGGTGGCTACAGGAAGCCAGTGGAGGGAGATGAAGAGGGATGTGACATGGGTTCTTTTTTGGTTGGTTGAAAACAAGGCATGCTTCTGCATTCTGAATCATCTGAAGGGGTTTGATGGACTTGGCTGGGAGGCCTGGGAGTAGTGAGTTGCAGTAGTCCAGTTTTGAGATAACAAGAGCCTGGACTAGTAGCTGTGTGGCATGATCAGTGAGATAGATGTCACATGGGCAGGCAGTGATACGTGCTGAGATCGATGGATCTTCAGGCTGGAAGCACAAATAGAGCTGAGTGTCATCAGCATAGCTGTGATATGAGAAGCCATGAGACTCAGTCACAGGCCCCAGAGGTAGTATAAATAGAAAAGAGCAGTGGACCCAGAACTGACCCCTGGGGAACCCCAGTTGTGAGTTGCTGAGATTCAGACACCCCTTCCCTCCATGACACCTTGAAGGATCCACCTGAGAGATAGGATTCCACCCAGTGCAGAGCAGTTCTGGTGATGTCTAGACCAGAGAGAGTTGACAGGAGGATCTGATGATTCACAGTATCAAAGGCAGCAAAGAAGTCAAGTAAGATGAAGACAGATCTTGAGGTTGATCTTGCTAGTCATAAGACTTCAGTAACGGAAACAGAGCAGTCTCCGTGGAGTGGCTGCTTTTGAAGCCAGATGGCTTGGTGTCCAGGAGGTTGTTCTGTGTGAGAAAAGTGGAGAATTGATTGAAAACAACTCTTTCAAGGGTTTTGCACAGGAAAGGGAGGAGGGAGACAGGTAAAGGACATTATAAATAAAGTTGAGGAATGTGTAAAAGACATTAGAAACTGGATGCTTATTAACTTTCTCTTACTTAATTCTGACAAGACAGAAGTACTTGTACTAGGACCACATGCAGTTAGAAGTAAGCTTTCTGATTACATAATAACTCTGGATGTCCTTTCTGTTTCATCATGTGTAGCAATAACAGACTTTGGTGCGATTATTGACTCCAGTCTTTCATTTGAAGCTCATGTTTCGCTGCTGCTGGGGGTGGTCCCACATGGATGGCCTGAAGATCATTGGGATTACTGGGGATGGTGCTACTTGGGGACCTTGGAGATGGCTTTGGACTGCGGTTCATATGGGCCTTTGTACTGCGATGGCTTGGGACTGTCATTGCTGTGGTGGCTTTGGGGCTGCGGTTGCTGCGAGCAGTTTTGCACTCAGGTCTCCATCAGTGGACAGTGGATAGATTTAACAAACCGGACTTCTTGTGAAAACTATAATCAATTTCCTGGTTATGCAATTGCACTATTTGTCCATGTAGTATACAGTTATAGAATGAATTTATTTATAACCGCACTATCCGGTGTCATCCAGATGAGGATGGGTTCCCTTTTGAGTCTGGTTCCTCTCAAGGATTCTTCCTCATATCGTCTCAGGGAGTTTGTACTTGCCACTCTCGCCTCTTGCTTGCTCGTTAGGGATAAATTCATACATTTAAAATTTATATCCTGAATGTATTTATTTCTGTATAGCTGCTTTGTGACAATGTCCATTGTTAAAAGTGCTATACAAATAAAAGTGAATTAAAATTGAATTGAACATATCCACAGCGTGTGTGTATAAAATCTACTGATTTTACAGCAAGCGCTTCTGGGTTACGTCTTTGTTTGTGTTGCCATGCATGTTTTTGTTTTGGTTTCTGCCCTGTCTCATTTACATTTATGGCATTTGGCAGACACCCTTATCCAGAGCGACTTACATTTATCTCATTTATACAACTGAGCAGTTGAGGGTTAAGGACCTTGCTCAAGGGCCCAACAGTGGCAGCACTGGGGTTTGAACTCATGACCTTCTAAGCAGTAGTCTAACATCTTAACCACAGAGCTACCACCCCTCTATTGTTATTGGATGCTTCCCCTCACTTGTCATGATCAATCTCACCTGTTCTCAAATTGCCCTTGATAAGTTTTTATATTTAAAGCCCCCCATGTGTCTTTGTGCTTCATGCAGCATTGTTCAGTGTTTCGCCGCCTGACTTTAGCTAGCTGTTTTGTTCTGTGTGTTCGCTCCAGTTTTTGACTTCTTGTTCCATTCCCTCGTTTTGTGCTTTTGGATTATCCTTGACATTGCTGTTTGTACATCGCCTGACCATTGCCTGTTTTGTATTACTTTTTGAACATTGTTTTTGGATTTGTCTGCCTGCCTCTGTTAATAAATAACGCCCTTTCACTGCACTTGCATCCCTCTCCACTCACATTATGTGACAAGCTTTAATCTACACAACCAATTAAACCCATTTAGCTTCATTCTGGTTTCAGCTTTTAACTATTGTCTGTTTTCTGTGAGATTTCTTTTCTCACTCATTTCATACAACTTCATGTTTATTCTGATTTCAGTTCTCTCTTAGAGCAGAGCAAGTCGAACTACATTCCAATGGTGTTGATTGGGACACCTCCACTGCCAAGTAAGAAGTCTAATCCTTCTTCTTACTAATGTGTATGCTTCAAATACAAATATACTAACATACACTCCAAGGCTTTTAAAAATCTCTGACTTTTACCTTGCTGTGTCCATGACCTCATTTGGATCAATTCCTAAATCTAATCAGTTCATATGCTGGTTAAAACAATAATTAAGTATTAATAAGTATTTATACAGAACAAAGGGTGCAATATCTACAGAGACAAAGGCCTCAACAGAAGTGGTGGCTGATGTGTTTCGCAAAGTGAGATTCACAGAGTGTACGTGTTTAAAACATGTTATCAGAAACAGAGAAAGAACAAAAGATATCAAGGTCAGCACAGAGTGTGCCAACATATATTCATAATATATCAGGTACATTGGCCTTGGCACAGACTGAGCATGAGGCGACAAATCCGTGGATGTCTCCTATCATCCATGGCCACCAGTATTTGCCCTGAAGTAATTGTTGCATTTTGTGAATAACGGGGTGTGACCAGGGAGGTTGACCAGTGTGACCATGGAGGCTCCCCTTGACCAGGGAGGTGTGAGCCCACGTGATCAAGTTGTCCCGTAGTGACGAGGGCACAAACTTCTTCCCTGCTGGGAACTGAGTGGGAAAACTCAGTCCCTGAACTCCCCAATTTCTCTGTCAATGTCCCAAGGGAGTGTTCCAAAAAAGCGTGACTTGGGCAGGATGCATTCTTCAGTGGTCTTATGAGGGGGCAGTGGTTACATATGGGAGAGGGAGTCAGCTTTCATGTTTTTTGATCAAGGGCAGTAGGAGAGAGTGAAATCAAACCTTGCGAAGAATAGTGTCCGGCCTGACGGCTAAAGGACGTCTTCCACTCATCTATCTCCCTGATGCGCACAAGATTGCAGGCACTTCGCAGATTGGATTTTGTGAATATTCTCACCTCACAAAGCTGTTCTAGGGTGGCTGGAACCAGGGTTAGGGTATAGCGATACTTGACTGTGACTTGTTTTAGCCCACGATACCCCCTTTCTTCTTCAGAAAGAAGAACCTGGTGGAGGCTGGTGATGTAGAGGGGTGGATGTACCCCTGTTTGAGGGCTTCCTCAATGTATTAAGGTGTAAACTGGTTGAAAGGGGATGTAGCTCCAGCCAGCAAGTCAATCGCACAGTCGTGGGGCGATGAGGAGGGAGGCCACTGGCCTTGGCCTTACTAAATACTTCATGGTAATCCTGGTATTCTGGAGGTATTAAACCCATTTAGCTTCATTCTGGTTTCAGCTTTTAACTCCTGTTTGTTTGCTGTGAGATTTTTTTTTAGCCACTCATTTCATACAGTCTCATGTTTATTCCACTTTCAGTTCTATCTTATAGAGCAAAACAAGTCGAACTACATTGCAGTGGTGTTGCCAGGGACATCTACGCTGCTAACAACTTTCAGCCAGTTGTTCTTGAGATATCAAAATAATGAGAACCAACCCCAGAACATAATGCCTCCACCACCTAGTGATTGCTTTATTTCAAGGTGATCTTTTTCTTGCTATCAACTCTCTTTGTTTCACTCACACACAAGTTGTAATACAGTACAACAACAATCAGGAAAGTTAAAATGTAAAATAAATAGTAAAGGTAACTGTCCCATCGGAGGAGAGAGTAGAAGCTGCCTTTGAGAGGAAGAGGCTGAAGTACTTAGATCTCCTCACTGAGTGTAAGGAGGCTGGCTGGAGGACCATCATCTACTTAATAGAAGTAGGATGCCATGGCTCTTCGCCTCCTGAGGGATATGGGAGTATCTGGGGCAAACCAGCGGAAGGCCCTGTAAACCTACGGTACAACAGCAATCAGGAAAGTTAAAATGTAAAATAAATAGTAAAGAGTGAATGCTCAACACATACACACAGTCATGTTAACTGTGAACAAGTGATTTATAAAATCAGACTTTAACAGCTTTAGTATAAAACAACCAGGTTAATAATATTAACAAAAAGGACATGATGAGCATCGTTTCTCAAACTTTTATGATTTTATGATAGGTTCATGATGTCTGAGTGTTTTTATATTTAATCACAAGTTTCATCTTGGTGTCAGGAAACAGTTAAAGATGCAAGTTCAGGTACTGAATGGTTTTATTAACCGTGGCAAACAAGACAGTGAAGTAATCCAAAAATGTAGTTAAAAAACAGACAAGGGTCAGGCGATGAGGAAACAGCATTACCAAGGGCAGGCAAGAGCAAAACGTGAATATCAGAAACTAGATCAAACCAGAAAGACTGTCACAAAATCAAAAGTCTTGGTAACAACTGGCACGAACACAGAGCGTATATTTGCAATGACTGTGTGAACTGAGAGTCCCTAAATATTGTGAGTGTTGCTGTGAAGGTAATTGAAAAACAATTAAAAAACTATGCTGTACATAGCCGTATGAAATTCTCAGCCTGTTTAAGGTAATAACATAAACGTGTGATTGTTGTGTGACGGACAAGACTGAAGCAAAAAAAACGGTAATATATCAGTGAGCTCTCGCTGTGTGTGGAGCTGTAATCTACACAACCTCATTCTGGTTTCAGCTTTTAACTCCTGTCTGTTTTTTTGCTCACTCATTTCATAAGACCTCATGTTCATTCCGCTTTCAGTTCTCTCTTAGAACAGAACAAGCCACACTACATGCCAGTGATGTTGACGGGAACACCTCCGCTGCCAACAAGTCTAATCTTTCTCCTTACTAATGTGTATGCCTCAAATACAAATACACTGAAATATACTTCAAGCAGGAAGGAAGCTATTAAAAATCTCACACACTTGACCTTTCTGTGACCTTGACCCTGTTTGGATCAATTCTTAAATCTAATCAGTTCATCTGCTGGTTAAAATGATAATTCCATATAAATCCTACAAACATTCAGCCACTCATTCTTGAGATATCGTGCTAGTGAGAATCAACCCGAGAAAATAACTCCTTGACCACCTAGTGATGGAGGTATTAAAAGTGAAACTGCATGAGTTTAAAATCATCAATCATAGATTAACTATTTTATTTAAGTGCTGCTTTATTTAAAGTTTATCTTTTTTTGCTGTCAGCTCTCTCCTTGAAATCAAACCTTGCGAAAAATAGTGTCCAGTGGTCCTGAGGTGAATTCAGTCATGTGGCTGTCTTGATATACTCCAAGTTCTTGTGGACAGTGTAGATGGTGAAAGGATGGAGACCTCACTCCAGCCAGTGAAGCCATTCTTCTAGAGCAAGTTTCACCACTAGGCGCTCCCGATTGCCGATGTCATAGTTCCTCTTGGCAGGAGACAATTTCTTGGAGAAGAAGGCCACTGGGTGTAGCTTGGCTTTCTCTCCTGACTTCTGGGAGAGAATGGCCCCTATTCCAGTGTCTGAAGTGTCAACTTCTACTATGAAGGGCTTGGTAGGTTCAGGATGTTTCAGAATGGGCTCAGTGGTGAAAGCTTTCTTAAGCTGTGCAAACTCTTGGTCTGCTGGGAAGTCCCATTGCAGCCTCTTGGCACACTTCTTTAACAGGGCAATTAAGGGGGCCGTGATGCTGCTGAAGCCCCAAATGAAATGCCAATAGAAATTGGCGAATCCCAGGAACTATTGCAGTTCCTTCACGTTGGTAGGAACAGGTCAGTTGGTTACGGCTGAAACTTTATCCTGGTCCATAAGCACCGCACTGGTCTTAAGATGTAGCCTAGGAAGGCCACCTTGCATACATGGAAGTCACATTTTCCCACTTTACATAGAGCTCATTCTTGAGTAACTGTGACAGAACCCTCTTGACGTGCTGGATCTGGGTGATTTCAATGGGGGAGCAGATGAGAATATCGTCAATATAAGCGATCACATACTTCCCAAACATTTGCCACAGCACGTCGTTGATGAGAAACACTCTGGTGCTGATGATAGCCTATATGGCATTACACAGTTCTCAAAGTGACCAGAGGTGGTGCTAAAGGCCGTCTTCCACTCATCCCCCTCCCTGATGCGCACAAGATTGGAGGCACTTCGCAGATCAAATTTTGTGAATATTATCGCCTCACGAAGCTGTTCTAGGGAGGCTGGAACCAGGGGTAGGGGATCTCGATACTTGACTGTGACTTGTTTTAGCCCACGATAGTCAGTGCATGGCCTTAGTCTCCCCCTTTATTCTTCACAAAGAAGAACCTGGTGGAGGCTGGTGATGTAGAGGGGTGGATGTACCCCTGTTTGAGGGCTTCCTCAATGTTTTCCTCCATAGCCTGTGTCTCTTTGTCTGATAAGGGGTAAATACGGTTGCGAGGGGATGTAGCTCCAGCCAGCAAGTCAATCATGCAGTCGTAGTGGCAATGAGGAGGGAGGCCACTGGCCTTGGTCTTACTGAATACTTCATGGTAGTCCTGATATTATGGAGGTATGATCACTGGGGCTGTATTGTCTGGGCTTTCAATGGAGGTGGAAGCTACCTGAACTGACAGTGTAC